GTGTGTGAGAGAGAGAGTGGGTTTGTGTGTGTGTGTGAGAGAGAGTGGGTTTGTGTGTGTGTGACAGAGAGTGGGTTTGTACAATTTTCACTTCACTACATAAAAGAAAATGCTCACAATGAAACTTAAAAGTGTGTGCACACATTTTGCAAAATGATAACAGCTATGGATAGAGAGATGGTAAAGGACCCAAGACAAACTAAAAATGGCCATTTGTGCAGTTAATTTACATCCCCTGAAAAATGTGTGATTAGAAGGAATATTTATATCTGGTACCTTTAGTATGGGAGCTATGAAGACGGATACACCAGTTAGAATGAAGACTATCGTCCCAGTCACACGCTGCTCCCTGGAAACAAACAGCAGAAGCATTTAGCAAGGTGAGCACTATCACAAACAAAAAAGAGAGTTAACATGAAACTATATTGCATTTCACAAAATAAACTCATTAGGGGGAATGTTATGGAGTTTGCAAGAGTGGGAAATGTGACACGTGGTTGAGTTAATTGGGCAGGATGTGAAACATTGATCTCCTGGTATTGAATTAAGGCCAGCCATGTGTTCATGATGTATCGAGCCTCACAATGTTCTATGGTAGCATCATACATTTAATATATTGGTGATCTGTGAATAACTATTTACATGAATCTGTTTTTTAAAAAGTCTCTGGGGTGAAAACAGTGGCACACACTAATCGCATGATATCTGGCTCACTCACCATCATATAAAGCTGGTAAACAACAGCACACTGTGTGCAGGTCTGTGTAAGGTCAGGGGGTTTCTTGGGGGGGTTAACTCGAACAGAACCAGGGCGTGCAGCCAGGGATCAGACAGTTCTATCGAGGCTCAGCACTGGCGAGGGTCAGTCAGTGCTGAGGAGGAGAGTGGCACAGAGTTTGGGGACATGGAGCATTGGAAGAGGGGTCTAGAACTTAGGTTCGGCCACAGTTGGAACACTGTGTACAGTTCTGGTCACTGCACTATAGGAAGGATGTGGTTGCACTGCAGGGATTGCTGAGGAGATTCACCAGGATGTTGCCTGGGATGAGGCATTCCAGCGATGAAGAAAGGCTGGATAAGATCGGGCTGTTTTCTTTGGAGCAGAGAAAGTGGAGAGGGACCTGATAGAGGTGGATAAGATTATGAGGGGCATGGACAGAATGAATAGAAAGCAACTGCTCCCCTTGGTCAAATGCTCAATTAGAAGGGACATCATTTTAAGGTGAAAGGTAGAAGGTTTAGAGGGGATTTGAGGATTCTTTTTCACCTGGAGAGTGGTGGGGGTCTGGAATGAACCGCCTGGGAGGATAGTTAAGGCAGGAAACCTCACAACCTTTAATAATTATTTAGATGAGTATTTGAAGGGTCATAACATTCAAGGCTATGGACCCGGTGCTGGAAAGTGGGACTAGTGCAGGGAGTAGTATCTTTCTGGTCATACAGACTCAATGGGCTGAAGGGCCTGTTCTGTATGATTTGATGATAGATGGTGGGGTTGTGGACATGTGGAGGCAAAGTGGGCCTGGTGTGGTCAGGTGGGAGGGGTTGGTGGGGACAGACAGTCAAGTTAAGGAAATGAGGAGCTAAGGGCAATGACAGAACTGTCCAGATGTGTGTGTCCATCTCAGGGTGTTTACCTTTTCAGGCTTTGAACTCACCTCCAATATTTCAATTAACGCCCCCCCCCACACCCACACCACCCCTCCCACCCACAGTGAGGCTGCGTTTAGACAATGATCTTTATAAGGCTCAAAACACAGGGCCGGCTGAAACCATCATCCAGCCAAGTCCCACAGAGCAGACAGTGTGACACTCAACAATAACACCATACATTGAGTGAAGAATAAATGCAAAAATAAAACATTGTCGCTTCCACAATAAAAGAAATGTCATTAACCATGTGCTAAATGGCCAACTTCCGCACTGGAACAATCCTGAGAAAGCAGAAGTGGTGCACAGTTCCTGTTAACGACAGCAGAAATGAATGTTTGGATGGGTACACAATCAAGGGACAGATTCAGCCCCTTGGGCCTACTCCACCATTCAATAAGGTCATGATTGTAGCCTCATTCCAAAATTCCCCTGCTCACCTTCCACTCACAAGCTTAACACAAACCTATCTACCTCGGGCTGCTCCCAACAGCTCTTCGGTTGGGAGCCAGGGGGAGAGTTCCAAAGATTTACAACCCTCTGAGAAAATATATTGCCCCATTTCTTTTAAATGGGTGGCCCCTGATTTGTAAACAGCGACCCCTCATCTTCCAAAAGAGGAAACACCATTTCCACTTTTATCCCATCACTTTCCAGCTGGTCAAGATCCCTCAGCATCTCAGATGTTTCAATCAAGTCGCCTCTTACCATGCGAAACACCAGCAGATACAGGCCCAGCCTGACCAACCTTTCTTCATAAAACAACCCACCCCATTCCAGGGATTAGTCTGGGAATCCTTCTCGGAAACTGCTTCCAATGCATTTCCATCCTTTCTTCAGTACGGAGAGCAATGCTGTGTGTGACACTCCAGATGTGGTAATACCAGTTCTCTGTATAACTACAGCCTGCCTCACCCGAGGGAGATTTCCTCTCGCAACATTCAACAGTGACTCAGGCACTGCGGACAAACCTGGCATCCAAAACTCATGGGTTTAAGTGCCGCAGCAGATCCTGGCTGATGACCCACTGAGGGAATGCAGCACTGTTGGTGGTGCAGTGCTCTGGTATACATGCTCATACTGAGGCTCTGTCCACTACATTGGGCGATTGTAAAGGACCCTGTGTGACCTGGGGAGCTCTCCCAGTCCCCCACTAAACCTCTGTCCCAGTCTGAAAGATCTGAAACGGACAGGCTGGTATGACACTGCTGTGTGTGTGTATAGGGTGGGGGTGAGCTCACTGTGCACAATTTCATAGCCGTGGTTCTACACAATAGGAGTTTGAAAGCACAGACTGTCATTCATTTCTGGCCATTTAGTGTTTACGCCTGGACCCTCTGCTGAGGCAGTGGGAGTGCGGAGTGTCCCTGCACTTCCTCACAGCAATCACAGGAAAGATTGCAACCTCCAGGCCTCACATTGGAAGGAAGGAGCAGGCAATACACCTGTACAGAGATAACACGGTGTAGAGCTGGATGAACACAGCAAGCCAAGCAGCATCATAGGAGCTTGGCCTGCTGTGTTCATCCAGCACTACACCTTGTTATCTCAGATTCTCCAGCATCTGCAGTTCCTACTATCTCTGATACAATTTACACCCATACAGAGGCCTAGTCACTTCATTCTGCCTGAGGCTACGCCGAAAGGCAGAGATGGACAGGTTCTGGGCTAACCAGAGTCAGAGGGGGTTGGACAGGGGGAAGCAGAAATGTGCCGGAACCAGACCAGCTATGAACTTAATGAACCGCACAGCAGGCTCGAGGGGCTGAATGGCCTGCTCTGCATTCTGTGTGGTTATAATTCTGCTCTTAGTATCTCCTTCCTGAGAGTTAGTGCCAATCAGATCACTGGGAATACGTCAATGTTAGTGAACCCTTAAGAGGAGCTGTCAATGAGACGATTCCTACCTGACACCCAGAAATTTGGGAAGTTCTCCCGGGGCAGATGTCTCTGTCTCCATCTTCAAGCTGTCGATGTGTGCGATGGAGATCACAGTGGCTGCTACATACCACGGTAACCCCATCACCGAGCAAAGTGCCATCAGGATAGCCACCCAGAAGAGATCAAGGTGATAACCAGCTCCTTTCTGTACAAACAAACCACAAAACATTCCAGGCCACTCATGATGCGATTTCCCCTCAAACGTATCTTTAATCCGTGTAAAATTACAACATGCAAGGGGATTGAAGGTTAGATTGTCGAACTCAATAAAAATAGATGCAAGCATTCAGAAAATTCCCAAGCAATATGGATTCGTCATTTC